AGAAAAACAAGATATCCCATCAAAAATATACAGTTGTCCATTTCCTGACATTTCCTAATATGAGTTACCAGCAGTTATTGAGTTTGTCAACCTTGTCATCAGTGGGAATATATATATGTTGATTTGTTAATGCATACAAAACAATTCCTAATCCTACAGTTTCTTTCAATTCCATTTGCAAGCAGCATACATACATAGCTTAGTTACAGTTTGGCATTTACAGTGTATCACATTTCATGTTTATTGACCGTTTAAATTTTGGTTGCTAGGAATGAAAGCCGGTGACAGTACACTTAATGCGGTAATGGCTGGAGTAAATGCTCTGACATTATCAACTGAATATCGGGAACATCAGTCCTTGGATGATGGTGCTTATGGTTCAATTTTAGCTGCTTATGTGAAATTTATGACAACTCCTGGATCACATGGTGACACCTATGCTGAGTCCTTCCATAGAGAATTCTTTAAGTAAGTGCATCTGGAGGGAAGTCGGAAAAGGAAGTCACATAGAACGATGTGTGTTGTATGCGTACCGCAGATATTTAAACTCTTTTGTATAAATTTAGTTGTGGGTTGCATTGAGGTTGCACCTGTAAAGTCATGAAAGTGTACAGTACATATTTCATGTGTCCTGAGGCCTATGCTGCATGTTGTTCTATGTGACCTTCTTTTCTGACAACCCCTCTGGAGAGTCTTGCAGTTGACAATGCATACACATACATGTAAACTGTTGCTAAACTATTTATTGACCAGATGATGCTGTTACTTTCTCCTGCTGTGTGAATATTTTTAGTCCAAAGATGGACAACACTTTGTATAGTTACATGAAAGTAAACTGGACATGAAGCTAACCTACCTGTAAAATAAACTATGATATCTGATTTTTAATCTGTCATTTTATTTGTGAAAGGTTTTAGAGTAAACTATTGAGACAATTTCATTCCACAGCAGAACTTAGCATCTTATCTTAGCTGCCCTACCAAAAAACCTGTCAGCATGTACGTGTACCTGATGTGGTTTCAAAGTCATGAAGGTTGTTATTTCAACTTGTTTGCTGTTTGATTTTCCTGTTTGTTAGAGATTGGGTGACAGCTGGGTCACCTGTTACACCAGAAGACGTGTTAGCATTTGCTGAGTCACGATCCAAAATGTTACTGACAACTCGTGTTGACCACAACATTGACAGCATTGGAGCTTTGGTGATTCCAGTACCTGTCATCTGGCACTGTGCTAATTTCTCCACTTCTGATGCTGTTAAGGTGAATGAAAACTCAAATCATTATGTTTCAATCCCTTGAAGTTTGGGTTGCTGCTAGGTACATGTAAATCAAAGGTGCTCCACGCCATGGAAAAAACATGTTACATGTACTTTCCATACGTGTACATGTACTTCAATGAAGAAAGGTGAACTGTAAAGAGAGAGAGAGAACTCAGTTGTGGTGCATCATGATTTGTGATGAAACCGAGACAAGCCTAAATTAATTGCTGCTGATAAAAACCAAGTATTGTCATGGTTTTTTTACATTGGTGTAACATATATACAGAATGGTTTCATTTAATTGAAGTTTAATTGTTGGAATAGTCGATAATTTTTTTTCTATATGTGTCTTTTGTTTTAGCATGCAGTGCGACTTGTCAGTCTAACCCACTGCTCCTCAAATCTGGTTCCATTTGTGGAGCTGTTCGCTAGCACACTTCATAGTGTATTGAATGGAGCCAGTCTTAGAGAGAAAGCCCACCAGGCATTGGAATCCTCACTTTTAGGAGGAAGTAGCACATGGAAACGAGTCAAGAATTATTCACAAAGAGCAGCAAGGTACATGTAGAGTATTTTAGTCGGGAAGTCCTAATGCTAGCTGTTGTAACAATTCCTACTCTTCGGCACTTCAAGTAACTCGGTGGCTGAAATATTGCACTTGTCTGCTGTCGGGTAAACTGATATTGTTTCACCCGTTTATTTGGCTTATGATAATCCTGTAGGTCAATTAATTTCTAGCAGTGTTTCTTTATGTTCCTCTATCCTTGATATTACCCAGGTATGCAGAGGGCTCTGAAGAAAGGCTGCAGGTGTATCAGGAAGCTGTATCACATTTTGGCTTAGCATGCTACATCAAAGGAGCACTCACTTCAATGTTCTTCCTAGCTTATGAGTTTCATGACAACTTTGAGGGAGGTGTTTTAACAAACACGAACTGTGGAGGTAAGAAAGGTTTACCCATACATACATTTACGACATTTTTTTTAGTGTAAATGTTTTTATGAGTGAAATTTTAAATCAGACACAGGGTGTTGAAGCTTTAACCAATGCTCATTATCCATGAAAGACAGACTTGTGTTTTAATTCTGTGCCCAGTTTTTAATGCAGTGCTCACAAAGCAGGCACAGTTCTGGAGCCATTTTCCTTTTTTGGGGGAGGGGGCCTTGACCTTCCACATGTGACAACACTCTTTAACTTTCACTACTGCTCTTTCATATGGTTTTTCGCATTTTTGCAGTTTGAAGGGGGTTACATAAAAGTTTTTTTAGAGGGACCCCCGAGCCTCCCCAGAAAACCAAGCCTGAGTGGAAGAAATGCCATGTTGCTGTCCCTCTGAGACCATTCTTTGTCTTCTCCAGTGTTAAAATGTATTCATGTGTATTACATTGTGTGTAGCCTACATGTACTGAAAGGCTTAAGGACAGAGTTGAATGCTAAAAAAATATTAACAGAAGTTAATCACTGATTTATCTGCAGGTGAAAACTGCCATCGTGGTGCCATTTTAGGGCTACTTCTTGGTGCAGAGGCTGGACGCATTGGAAAAGAGATTCCTCAGCATTTGAAATTGGGTATTCACAGCTCTCAAGAAACAATTCAAGATTTACTAGATGCATGGAATTAATGGGAAACTAAATTTAAATCAGCAAATTTCCTGCAAGAATTTTAAAAATTAAGAAGAGGTTTCATTAAGCACGTTAAGTTTTATGCCCAAAAGTGTAAAGTACATGTACCTGTACATGCCATTGATTTCTTGAGTATAAGTTGCCAAGGATATGCACTGTTATGTAGTGTCTCTCCCCTGAAAGAATTAGGGAAAACTTTCTTTCGAACCATTACCCAGAAATAGGCATTCTGACCACATTTACTAAGAGAAAAGTGAAGAAGAGATGATAACCTGTGAAGGTGTTCTCCAGTCCTATGGTATGCAGGTCGGTAGCTTTACAGCTTGCACCTGTCACCCTTTAACATGTATTTATATGTGCAGATAGTTGCTAACAAGACTGTGTATATTTGTTCTGGTCTACCAACAGCTATGGTTTTGTATTTAGTTCCTGCTACATGTATATTTTACTTAATTCTCTGATCTTCTTGTAAAAAAAAAACGAAAACAGTATGGACCTTTTCAAAGGTATTGTTAGTTTTCCTGTGATGTAAATGCTCACGAAGTTAAAAACATTTACTCAGCAAGTTGAATTGAAAACAACCACCTAGTATGTAAATGCATGTACATGTAGTTTGTGTCACAGGAACAGCAAGTGTCGTTTAGCTTTTTGCCTATCATATACATTTTACAAACCTGCAAAATGTATACTGAAACGAAAGAATATGTTGAAAAATTACGTTGTCTCTTAAATCTTGTTTTTGGATGGATGTACATGCCTCTGAGTACATTTGAAGTTCCAATGAAATCTGTTTTAAATAAAATGTGACTAAGATACATACAGAGCAAGCAGCATGAATGTACTGGCAGCGTGACGAGTGAAGAATCAGATTATTGCCATCTGTTTAATATATTGTAGCTGTATGAGTTTAGAAAAGATGCTAAATCATTCTTGAAGTTTTATGTCCACCAACCATAGGTGCTTTCAGCAGACTTTTACCGAGATATTGTTAAATCTGTGATACCTTATCTTAATGATAAATAGGTGTGAATCTAGTTTTGGGGGGTCATTGATCAACCTGTGCTTTGACACTAAAACGACGCGTAGAAAATGAAGTTACTATTACAGAAATGATTATGGAACTCATGACATCCTAGATCCGTATTGGTTGATGCACTACCTATCTATGTTGTAGTCGAGTCCAAGGTCTTTCACAAGACCAGTAAAAAGTGACTGGGTGAACAATGAGAGGAAAGCTTTTGTCACGGTTCATTTGAGTAGCGTGAGTTGGCTTCAGAGTGGACTTGTGATGGGTTCGATTACAACATTGTTATCGCCTATGGGTCCTGTCCGCTACAATCGAATATAAAAATCTGACGGGGCTGACCCCTGGAGAGTTCTTCGATCCACCCGTGATAAACCTGAAAATTCGATCAATGTTGAAATCAGTTTCGTCCAGTTCCACCTCCTAAACAGTGCCTCGTGCGTGGGGTCTTGTGTGTCTTGTCTGTTGGTAGTGTTTTTATTTCAATCAGCTACCCGATTCTCATTTGATTACGTATACAACCAGTGGTTGCCCCATCTTACAGCTGTGGGTGAGGTATGAGGATTCTCTTAAGAGCGAAGAAAAATTGGAAGCCGGTTTTTAAAAACGTAGGCTACCATTTTTACCCCTGTTGACCTTCAGCCAGCCCGTTTTGAATTGCAGAGCCCCACCACTTAACTAAGCCTGCAGTGTAGGCCTTTGCTTGACCACGGCTGGACCCTTGAGCAGTGACTCGATCACGATATTTTGAAGGGGGGGAATTTGCAACACATTGCGCCCTTGGGCCCCATCTGTCCACGTGCAGCCCTATTCATTACTCAACAGAACGGTCTAGAAAACGCCATACACGAAGACAAAAGCCACAAGTGCATGTGACGCGGCGTGCTTAGTAGTCAGTCGAGTCTTAGTAGTAGGTTGTACAGCATGTACAGTACATATACATTGCACATGTACATAATTATATGTACAGCACATGTACATGTAGTACCATACGTACGGCGCGTAGAAAACTATTGCGCCGGGTACCACCTTACGTTGCACTTACCCTGCAGTACGTCAGAAACCAGTGGCTGGTTGCCATAGCCACTGTATGTTTGTTGTACAGTACGTGCATCGTGTATGTGGCCGGCCGTGCGTGCGTGACAACGCCCGTCAATAATAATAATAATACGTCGCTGTCGCCATTTTACCGCTGAGCACAGATCTGGAAACAGCGCTTTCTGAGCGTTGGTGAAACTACCTGGCAAGAACCTAATGCTGTCTTCCGTTTTGTAACGCTAAAACTTGTGGTTTCTTCTAAGTGAAAATACTGACTGTATTGTAATTCTGACGTTTTTCGGTATGGAAGTTGCAAGGCGAAAAACCAAGTTGACGAGTAAACGTAGTGATGATAAAGAGATCGTAGCGGAAGCTTTCACCATCCAATCACAAATGAAAAATGCTAAAGTTGTCTGTCCACCTAAGGCAGGTGCGTTCGTGGAGCAGGAGGGGAGACCCACAGCATTTAGGAAATTTTACGAACGAGGTGATTTCCCAATTGCTCTTGAGCACGACACAAAAGGGAACAAGATCGCTTGGAAGGTAGGCACCAGAATAGGTCACAGTGTCCTGACCTCGGACGTTAGGTTATTACTATTAGCTTTAGGCCTCAGTTCTAACATGTTCAAGACAAGGTGATTTATGGCCATACGCGAGTGCAGAATTTTCCTCCAGTGTAATTAATTAAATGATAAAGCCTGTGAATTACATTAGTTGCCTTCTCGCAGCTTGGAAGACTGAACAGCACTGCCACTGTACTGCTTTCGAGTCGACTTGTACCTTGGGCGACTCGTGCCTTGGACGACTTGTACCATAGGCAACTCTACTTCGAGAATTCAAAGGCACTAAGTCAGTGATACTCGGTGTGCCCAGGTGCCTTCAAGGTGTGACGGTTTACATGGCGCCGTAATGCTATGACTGATGAGGTTTTAGAATCAAATTTTTGTGGTGAACATGGCTTGCGGCCCTAAAAATGCTGTTAAACCAAATTTTTCCCTGTCAGCAAAGCTGATAAACGGACAGAGTTTCAGAGCATGAAACGGAGTAGGCCTATTTTTGTAGAAAAACAAGTTTTTTGCCCGCCAATTCCTCGCTTCCACCCATTGACTGTCGCTTCATTCATGCTGTTCGTGTTTATCAGAGTGCACATTTGTTGAGCCCACCAGTGACCGTGCTTGCACCGCATTTTGGCTCGACCATTTTCGGTGGCGGGGGATAACATCATGCAAGGCGCAGCACATCTCTCCCGATGTGTGTTTCCAGGTCACAACATCAGCCAGGACAGTCCCACGATGAAAACAACACAAGATGTCATCCCCCGCCACTGAAAATGGCCAAGCCAAGATGCGGAGCAAGCGCGGTCATTGGTGGGCTCAACGAATCGCAGTCTGATAAGTGTGAACGGCTTGAATGGAGCGACAGTCAACGGGTGGGAGCGTGAAATTGGTGACCAAAAATCTTGTTTTTCTTCAAAAATACTCCATCTCATGCTCTGAAACTTTGTTTGCCTGCTTTTTAAGACGTGAAAATAAATCAGCTTTGCTGACAGGGGAAAATTTGGTTTAATAGCTTTTTAGGGCCGCAAACCCTGTGCACCACAAAAATTTGATTCCAAATGCCCATAGGTTTACGACGCCATGTAAACCTTCACACCTCAAAGGCACACGGAGTATCAAAGAATTAGTGCCTTCGAGATCCTGAAGTAGGGCAACTCTAGCTCTACTAAGTAGAGCGTTAGTATTCCTCATTTACGATTTTGGACAGGATCGTCATACTAACGCTCCACTGTGTTCATTTAATAAGATTAAAACAGTTCTCAAAAATTTTAAAGACTCACCTAAAATACCTCTGTCGTCACCTACTGGCTTCCATAAATGCCAATGTCAAACAGTTTGGGGGTTTCAATGCTATTTCTTACTTCAAAATCTGTCAAAATCCAACCGTTTTCACTCGACACACGCACAATACTTAAATTTTTTGCTGACTGCTCTTTTCAAATACGCGTAGCAAGATTTAGATGCAACAATATCTCTATGGGTGAAACATGGTCCTCCCAGAAACACGTGTTAGTGGCCTATGCCGTCAAATGAAAGGTACGCTGTAATTGGTCCCTGCCTTAGACTCTATAAGAGATACAATTTGACCAATAGCAGCACAATTGTAATTGGTTAAGCTGTCATACTACTGATGTCCTCTCAACCCAGTGATCAGTACTGCTAGTCATTCTTCCAAGTCTTCTTTGGTGTAAAGCCTCAGGGTGAAAGTCTGTTTACTTGAAATAGCCGAAACTTTCCAATGGCTCTTTGTTCATGTCTATCTGTAAGATTTGCAGAAATCTTACAGTTCTGGAAGTATGGGCCATATTCATATACATGATAAATCAACCTTGCATTATCTGTTGATAATTTTACCCTCAATTGTCTTTGCTTATAAAGTGCAAAGTGAATAAGCTGATCGACTGATTGTGGCCCCAACCTATGTACATGTAGTGCCCTGATGAACTCGGCCTTTTGTTTGCCAAATTGCCCTGAACATGTTTCCTCTTTCTCTACCATTTTTCCCAGATTGAGATAGACAAACTTGATTATCATCACTACCTTCCACTGTTCTTCGATGGGTTAAAGGAAACCACTCACCCCTATGAGTTTTTCGCCAGACAAGGAGTTCATGACTTGTTGGAGCATGGTGGGAGCAGAATTGTACCAGTTATCCCCCAGCTAATCATGCCTATCAAAGAAGCTCTGAGTTTGCGAAGCCGAAAGGTCCTTTGTACTACCTTTAAAGTTCTACAGCAATTGGTGATATCAGCTGACCTGGCTGGAGAGGCGCTTGTTCCATATTATAGACAGATCCTTCCAATCCTCAATATCTTCAAAAACATGAATCTGAACATTGGAGATGGCATTGACTATGGGCAGCAAAAGAGGGAGAACATCGGTGATCTTATCGAAGAAACCTTAGCAGCACTTGAGAAGCATGGTGGTGAAGATGCTTTCATCAATATCAAGTACATGGTGCCAACATATGAGTCATCAATTCTGAACTAACCACCGAAATGAACAGTTCATGTACCTGAATTTAAGTTCTAAGAGCATTACCCATGCCATGTTCATTGTAAAGCAACTACCATTTTTTTTTCATTGGTCAACATAGTAACATCATACATGTAGATGCCTGATGACAGAAATTTTGGAAGTTCCAAGTGCATCAGTTGTAGAAGTAAATTTAGCAGTTGTTTTATAATCAAAACTGTTACTTAATTCCAAATAAGTAATTTGTCGTTAGCAGTTGCATTCATAACTAACTGTGAAGTTCTTTAAATTTTTCATTGCTGTGAGCTTCTGACGCATTTGATAGCAATTTATCTTGGTACTCCTAATGAAGTGCTCATACTTGTTATATTTCTGATGTGTAAACATGTATTTATGCAGTCTTTACAGTGGGTGATTTAAAGTGTAGCTACCAATTATATAGCTCTTTGATGGATGACAAACTTTCACATATAGCTCGTCAACAAATTATTAATCCTGTCTCTTCCTGTATGACACTTTCCAAAAGACCCGTCCAAATAAGCAAGCTTTAATGGAGTCTCCTGTAATTAACCTCTAATGCATGAAAAAGTCTTCTCCAGGAATTCAAATGTCTACTGTCCAAGACGTTTAATAACAATTTTAACTACAAACATGAAATTCTTTGTGTACATATGAAGAAGTGTTGATATTAAAATTCTAAGGCAACACAAAGAAAGTTGTGGGAATGTAAATTGTACAAACAGATATTCTTGAAAACACTTCAGATTTTGTTGTGTAAATACCTAACATGATGAAGTCAGTCTCTGCAGTTACAATGGTTTGAAGGCATATAGATATGAGGGTAATAAATGTACATGTACCAAAGAAAGACTAAGGGCAGATACATGAATGAATACATGTACATTGATTCTAATTCCAGCAACTTGCTTAAAGTCGCTGTGGTAATTATTGTAATAGTATTTCCTTTTTTGGCATCTTTCATGCATTGTATGCCGAATTCTGGTTAAAAATCATTTTCTAAGAGGCAGATCTGTTGCTGTCTTTGTTCATGACTGTAAAAGAGCAAATAAGACCCTGCAACAACGAACACAAGATTCTAGAGTCCAACTACATGTAATTTACATGGACTTATTGAAACTTTGGTACATGTATCTCATTTCAAGATGTATATGAATTTCGCTATCGTGGAATTTAAATAAAGTTCACTGTTCACAAAAAAGCAATTTTGGTGGTATACATGTATTTATAGAAAAGATTCATTTCAAACCTTTTGCTAAGACAGCATGTAACACAGGCTACGTGTGGTATTTAACATGTACATCCACAAGCTTTGCAAGAAGTCACAGATGTTGATTGTACATCCACAGTTTGGCACGTTCAGTTCATCAGGAAACAAAATGCACATTAAAGCACAAACCCTTGATGCATTTTCATGTTTTGTAACACATGATTTTTAGAAGGTTAATAACTCATTTTCAGTCTCGTGGAAGAGCAGTTTATCAACGTGTTAATCTTCTGTCTTAAGTCTTCATGGGTCACTTTATTTTCAGCTTTCATGCAAAGGGAAGATTGTTCTTCTCAGCCCACTGTAGCCAGCCCCCTGGAAAGTGGCGTGCCCTGAAGACCAAAACATAATGGAACATTTTAAGGACATATTCACAAACTAAATCAGGAAATGACAAATACTGTACTATACACTTTCACTTTTTAAATTATCTCAAGAACAGAGACACATGTAAATGTCATGTATACTATATGACTGACTCTGTTTCACTTATCAGGCTTTATGACAGATGCCACAATTTGACGTACATGTACACTGCACATTCAAACATGCATTTATTCAAAGGAGATAGATCATTCTGAGAGAGCCAATTTTTGAAAGCTTATTTCAGACTTTACATGTTAAAATGAAAATTGGGCATGTTAAAACTCTTAATTGTTTGGAGAAAGTGTTCAGAAGATGCACAGAGTTTTTTCTGTTGGGGCAAATGTGACACCGTCCAAGGCATTTCAGTACATTTCTGTGCTGCATTTAATGATACTAACTTAGAATATCCAATCTCTTTGGCAATGTTCACTGCTGTCTGACTGCGCTTCCCACTCCTGCAGTGGAATACAATGTTATCATCTCTAGATTTGGGTTTACTGCATTGATATTTGTCCTGGAACTTATCTTCAGGCAACTTCAGTGCATCTGCTAAGTCACCCACTGGAGAAAAAGCACAAAAACAGTTCACTTTGAAATTTGAAACTTCAGACTGAAATTACAGTACAACAAAATAAAGTTGGAAAAATACCATGCAGAGTAAAATAAGGAAAACCCGGCATTATGTCCCCCTCGCCCAAAACGAAATCAACAAAAAAGGAAAACAAAGGAAAAAAGATCAAGAAATGAAACGAGAAACGGGATCCAAATCGCCAAATTGCTTGAGAAAACCTCAAAATTAACTGCTCCCACCATCGGTCATTTGTAAGTTTGCTGATGAGTGCTATCCCCCCACCCCAGAAAGTGCTTGACCCTTGACCAACATCCATGCTATATCCATAACTATGCCCCCACTAACTCTAAAGTTCTCCATCCCATTTACACACCACCTCATCTAAAGCAATAAATCTACAAAATTAAAAAGAGCGGAACACATTTTATGAGACAATTGTAACATGCATAAGTAAGCTTCTAATTACGACAAACTTACATGGGATATTGACAGAATTAGTAATTTGTCCAAATTCTGCAAGCTCTGCTGGTTCTCTGACATCGATAAGTTGTATATCACCACTGTTGATGCGCTTCACCAAACTGTCATAATAGACATTGATGTCATCTTCATCAAGAATAGCAGAATCACTGCTCAAGAAATTGATGAACTGAAGTTGGTGTGCACCTATGTGTATATGATGTGAAACGGTGAGTACAATCAGAAATATTAATCTTGACACCACTATGTGTGGGGGGAATACAACTTTGAACAATGGGAAATGGAGATGCATGCATGTTTACCACTACATTTACATCATAGTACCACAGTTAACATTTTCATCATTTGTCACTGATTAAATTTAAAAGAATCACTGATGACAGCACTGATGTACACATGTATACGTACATTTCACAGCCAGATATGAAGGGGATGTCTGCAGTATCTTCACCAGTGGATTGATGTTTATCATTTGATGGGATTGGATATGTCTGTAGTAATGAAACATGCATGTAAACAGATCATGCCCTTCATTAACACATATTTTGCAAAATGCAATTTGATACCAAATTGACAACTTATACAGCAAATGACTGGTTAATAATTATTTTGTAAACAAATATTCTTGGAAAAAAAAAAACCATCCAAGCCAGATCTGGTAGAGCTGTGATAATGGCCTGGCGGCCTAACAAGCAGTAGTATTAGAACTACATGTAGTACATCCTGGAGTGTAACCTTTGGCACAGATGTTTGAGCTGCATGTGTATCCGTGCTGAGATTACTTAGGATCATTGTCATAGGCACTGATGCTGGAAGAGGAGACGTTGGCCTTCTCCCACTTTTTCCTCCCACTGACAACCCCTATTTTGGCAGATCCTATTTAGGCCTATAATGGTCTGTCAAGTATCATGAAAAGGCTCATGTCTGATGGTCACCATCAAGGTCTCCAGCCATTTTAAAATGGGGCACATACCGGTACAGCGGCCTATTTCACTTTAGATAGTGTAGCCTTTTTTTTAAACGATTTTCCAGTTTTCTTTGAGAATGCAGAGATGCATTCCCTTGAATTGCAGACTTTCTCTATAAATTACTTTTGGTGCTTTGGAAAGTTCTCCAAAAATGTATTATGGACATCACGTGACACTCTGTGCACACACCATAGGCAGATAAGAGGCTGTGTTCTTTAGAAATTGGCCAATAATTGTTGGCTTAGCCGAATGCGACTACATATGTACATGTCCATCCACTTGCACTACTACTGCCAGTAGCTCTTTGTGACGCTACGTGACGCTGTAGTGGGGCATGTTGGGGCGTAATAAGAGCAAGGAAATAGGGACTTACGGAGGGTGGCAGCTCAAGACAGGTGAACCATGATTAGAATAATAATTGCGCTGCAATCTCTTTGACACTTTAGTGATAACACGAATGGGAAACCGATGAACAAAGTTTGCCATCTTGTCGGAAATAAGCTTCGTCAGGAATCATTGATCACGGTTGATTGAACTTTGGAACGAGCAGCATATAATCATAAGGATGAGGCTGTGCATATGCTGGGGACGGGGGGGGGGGGCTAGCTCAACTTGCACGTATCAACCCTCTGGTGGCGGGCTTTATCTTGACACTCGGCTATCGCACGCATTGCACTACTGGCGCATACCGCGCTAATGGCGGCCAAACGTGCTCAGAAGAGTGCCCGATCCGATTGTAGGCCTATCTTTCATATGAATTTGTCATCGATATTGTGATATTGGTAAGTCATTAATTTGTACTAAGCATGCTAAGGTAAGAACAAAATTGCCCGTCAGCCCACAATGATTAACGTTTGCGTGGTTAGGCCTAATGTGCGTGACCGTCAATTGCAGGTCCGGTCGTCATGATATGGTCGTACTACATGTAGATAACGTCAACACATGATATTAACGTCAACGCAACTTCAACACACCCAAATCACGTTTTAAGTTAACAGAAACGCAATTCGATAGCAATATAATGCCTAAACATGCTGAAAATAAGTAAAATACAATTTGGCTAACAACAGTGGGCGACATTTGTGGGGAAAAAAAGCCATTTTTTTCACAAAAATAACACCCTCCATAATAAGTCCATAAAACTCCCATCTAATTTAATTATTGAAAGTAAACTTGATTAAATAGAAATTATTCCTAGGCATACACATTACAGTTTTATACGTCTGTTTCCTCTTTTCATTGCATTTTGGAAGTGTTGACGGTGTATTGACCTTACTATCAATGTGTTGGCCCATGTTGACGGTGTGTTGATGCTGATTAGAACGACCCGGCAGGTCATTTAGGTTCTTAGAACTCAACTTAAACTTGAAGGCCTTATTTTGCCACTTAGGCTACTGCGAAAACCAATCAGACTAGACAATACATGTAGGTGTCGAAATTAGGGACCTGGTGACTATACGCACGTTACACACGTTACAATTTCTTAAAGAGCACCTCTAGGTAAACATGTTTCTCTGATTCATGTGATTTTATCTGTTTCAATAAATATGGACCATGCATCCAAATCGAACGCAGTGTCATTTGTCTTAAGACACATCAGAGCTCAAATGTAATGAGCTTTTTCTGTTCATGCCAAGATGCGAGTTCTGAATGTAGATTGTGTCATTTGGAGAAAACAGAAAATGAGGGGAACCCTTGGCCTGTGTTCATAGTGGATAACCCCTTGTTATGCTTGTGCATGCCAAACATTGCATGTAGCTATTGGTTGGCACGCGCAAGGATTTATCCACTGCAAACACAAGGTGAAGGTTCCCCTTGCTTTCTCTGTTTTCTCTCCCAATGACGCAATCTAGGTTGCATTCGGAATTCTCATCTTGGTATAAACAGAAAAAAACCTTCTAAGCTTGCTCTGAAGACAAATGACTCTAATTTGATTTGGATGCTCCCACATTTATTTTTACAGATAAAATCAGAAAAACATGTTTCCTTAGAGGTGCTCTTTAACACAATCATTTACCATGCTTACTTTTCATATTGACTAGTCACTTCTTATGTGGAGGTAGACAGGGGCAAATTGATAGGTTGTAAGTCTCTTTACACCAATATCACATTATGGAGGAGTCCAATCAAATACTAGATTTGGCATTTACTACACTGTCAGACAGGCTGTTCCTAGACCCATTGGTTGCAACTGGTCAGTCAGCATAATTGCAAACTTGTGATAGTGTTGTGCTATTATAGTTGTGAAATCTCCGATTTCCCTCAATGAAAATTACATACTGGATTCTGTTGAATGACAAACCCCATGATCTATAATTCTGTGGGTAATCCCTTATGGTACATGTACATGTAGTCATGTGGCCCCATTTTTGTGACTTACATGTAAAACATATGCTAAGACATAATTGTAACTTGTACTTACCCTGTTTGTAGTAATGTCAAATTTCATTTGATTTTGTACATTTTTTGGACAGATTTTATTCCATAAAGTTGTGCAGTCCAAAATGTGGCCCAAACTACTGGACATGAGTAAGGATGAATGTAAGAGGTTACTGAGACGCATTGAGTTGGAGGCATATGCTGGAATTATTAGTGCATTCCGAGCTCAAGGAGATCTGACAAAGGACAAGAAACAAATTCTTGATGAGTTAGCAACAACTCTGAGGTATGAAGTGTGCTTTATTATACTCGAGTTAATCCCATCTGCTTGGATTCATTTAATTTGAGCATTTTACACATGTGTATGCTTTAATTCCACAAATCAGATAGGGACATTTATTTAGACATGAATTTCCATAAATTTACATGCTACTTTGTTTATATTGAAATTACCTTAGAATTTTTTGCTGGAGGTCTTTGAGGTTGTTTTTCTTAATTTGTAGTATTTCTACAGAGCGTCATCGTGCTGAAGTAAGACGAGCAGTAAATGATGAGAAACTGTCTACAGTAGCTGAGAGGTTAGTTTGTCTTTAGTATTTCATGTGGAAATACATGTACATTTTGAAGGTTTAACCCCTTCGCGTCGGGAGGCGGCACGCAATAAAAATTGAGATCCTCAGCCCACTTTTCAGCTATTATTCTTGGCCCACGCTTGAACGAACACGGTGAAAAAAGGCAGACCCTGGCTCTTGTATATATGGTTATTGGTTTTTGTGCGGAGCCAAGAAATGAAAAGACCAAATTTGCATCATAATCACCAGCTCCACAATAGTCCCAACATTGAAAAGAGGCAACAGGAATGTGGAAGGGTGAGTAGAGCCGCATGCCTCTGAACGATCAGCCTTTTCACAGTGTAATTCAAAGCGTGCAGAGCAGGCTGGGCCACAAATCGAGAATTTGCAGTTTGGCAGGTGACCTTCGTGACCAAGCGAGGCTGGAATTCTTGAAGACAGCTTTCAGGAAGAAATTCCCGTCATCAAGGGGTTAAAAACCAGAACTGTGTATGCCCAGAACCATAATTTGAAGAATAATTTGTTCACAAGCTTTTGAAAAATTATGAATGCCTTAAAAACAGGCATCTTACAATGTCTGGAACCACTGACATGCCATGTAAAGACATAGTACTTCTTGCACTAAAACTTTATAACACATTTTATTGAAAACTAATTACTCCAAATGACTCCGTCATTTGGAGTAATTAAGTTTCAGTTTCAGTTTTTACTCTCTGTGTATTATCATTTACATGTACATGTACAACAACCCTGAATGCAGCAAGCCTGTTGAAATCTATAACACTCTCATTTAAACGTGAAAGTATTTTCTTTTCAACTGGGTCTTTTTATTTAGGTTGAGTGGACCGAACAACTCTTCAGAATGGGCAATTGAAGGACGTCGTCTAATTCCACTTATGCCCAGACTTGTTCCTCAGACTGTCTTTTCCTTAACAGCCAACCAGGCTGCCAATGCAGCATTTAGTCATAATCTCACATTACCGCTGCCATCGCAAACAGCCAAAAAAGAAGGTCAGAATCCTCACTATTAACATTTGAAGATGATTCACCTGAGAAACTTTTCCAGTTTCTCAAAAACAATTTTTCTTTGTTACATATTCCTCGCTTGTAAAATGCCATTCCAGTCAGTTATAAATGTGAGAATTTACAATTTCACTATTGCATCCTTAAAATGTCTGGAGATTCAGTGTGATTCAATTTCATGTTCTTCTTTGATAGCATCAAGTGAAAATAGCGTGAAGCTTCCAAGTCCGTCCTCTAATGTGGTTGTTCTTCCCAGTGGTCTCTCCATTCCCATCAAAGGTACTTGTATTAACTGTTTCGTGAAAGAAAAGTGTTTCTTATTTAAATTGCCTGATGTCACTTGCATACCAGCATTAATGTGCTAGATGAAATCATCATTCAACTCAGCCTGTTTTGCTTGAAGAACTTAACCCCAACAGTCCCAAATCCTCCAATTTCAGTACGATTTTACATACACCCTTGGAGCTAGGGTTTAGGCACGTCAAACAGATACATGCAGGAAGAAAAAGAATATTGCACTTTAACCCCTTCATGGCAGGATTATTTTGGCCGAGATTGCTGGGCTGTGGTATGCCCTGAATAGAGGGCTTTGTCCAGCAGCAGGCCCCATTGAACCAGCAGCTGCATAGTGAATAGACTGTATGTGTGGTATGCACTAATCCTCACACAATGGTGCGGTAGTAGCAGTCCTCCGTAGCAAAGGGGTTAACGATAGTGCTCAGACATTTTGTCGAATGCAGAAATTACAACCTTCTCTGATATGAATCCTTGTTTGGCATTGTAGGTGGACCTGATGTAGATGTAGAGAGTATTCCAGCTAAGAAGTCCCGTCGTGACTCCAGCCATCTTCAATCCAAGGAGCCCATTTCCTCCTCAGTTGCGCCTGTTCTGCAAACATCTTTATCACCGTCTTTGAGTGTGCCAAGCATGTCATTTACTAAATCAACCACTGGGAATACCATCACAAGTAATAGATCGTCAAGCTTATCATCCAGTAAACACCAGGTGGGCTACAGTGCAGCAATTAGTAAGCAACAGAGTCATAGATCGCTTGGAGGTCAATCAAGTTCTGTTGGCCTGACTTCTTCACCCACCAACAAATCTGGTGTTGGCCCTGCACAATCTCCTCTCAAATTCACTTACACCAAGACAGCATCGATGTCTGGGAATACAGTGCCTACCTCTTCAGCTCAAAAGGTAGAAATTGTGTCAGCCAAAATGGATAATTATTTGTTAAATGAAAAAAGTCACTTGTGGAAACAGGTTTAAAATACTCACTGCAACACTTGAATTGACACCCTGAACTATCCGCATAGTAAGATTAAAGTCGGTAGTCATTTGTCACTGTCTGCCATTGACCCTGGTTTGAATTTGTGCCAGTTCCCACTTGATTGCCGTGGTTTTCATAAACAAACTTTTCCTATACATTTTCAGTAACTGGAAGTTTTGTGTAAAATTTCCATGTACCTGTAACTCTCACCACAGAAATTAACTGCGTCACTCGTATGTCTTCAAGCCAGACAATTTAAGTTGCCTGTTTCTTAGACATCAGTGACCATTGCATTTATTTATGAATTCTCAGGTCATTCTGGTGTCAAGCAGCTCGACGTCTTACACGCCGTCTATCTTGCAGCGATCTCAGAGTGTTCCTTCTGCAAAGCCTTCATTTACCAAAGCTGGCACCAAGCAATCTGTTATATTAACCAGTGTGAGTGGCCAATCATTCAGGCAGTCTGAGTCAGTATCTGTTGGCAAACATCCAGGTATTGCTGCAGGCGCAAGACAGCATACAGGCATATCCAATACACCATTAATCAACAGGCAGAAAATAGCAGTCTCAGGCAGACAAGGTGAGGCTAGTGGAAGTCGCATTTCTACATCTGACATGATGCCAGGGACAACTGCTGGTGGGGCTGGCGCAAGAAAGCAATCGGGCAACGTGGGATCCGTGTCAGCTGTGAATAGCTCAATTATCACAGCAAGGACTACAGGTACATTAACTAAATATGCATCACTTGGACGTTTAGTAAATTCATTGACCCAGATGGTGAAGATGGGAGAGATTGGAGTGAAATTATTGGAATTCCCCTTTGATAAGAGAGGGCCTTAATAAGACCTTAAAGGGCTACATATGTACACCAGAGAGTGCCTTAAAAAGACCTTATAGGTGTTCAAATGTACACAAGAGAGGGCCTTAAAAAGACCTCATAGGTGTACAAATGTACACAAGAGAGGGCCTTAAAAAGACCTTATAGGTGTACAAATGTACACAAGAGAGGGCCTTAAAAAGACCTTATAGGTGTACAAATGTACACAAGAGAGGGCCTTAAAAAGACCTTATAGGTGTACAAATGTACACAAGAGAAGGCCTTAAAAAGACCTTATAGGTGTACAAATGTACACAAGAGAGGGCCTTAAAAAGACCTTATAGGTGTACAAATGTACACAAGAGAGGGCCTTAAAAAGACCTTATACATGTAGGTGTACACGTACACTGACGCCATCCACATTCCCTGATGAACCAAAATAATCAAGTATTTCTTTACCTTAGTGCTACTTTTACTGTGTTTGTTCACTTCTTTATAGCATCTGTCATAAGTTCTCAGATGACGTATGTTGCCCCCAGTATGGCTGGAAAACCAAGAGGAAGAGCTGTTAGTAAGCAGAAGCTCCAAAAACAAGTGAACATGACCCCAACATGTGGCATTACAACCCCCACAGAAGAAGTAACATCCAGCAAAAAACAGCCTGGAAAATCTGACATAGGTTTGATGGATTAATTTTCTTGGTTAATGTTAACTTATCTCCGGATTTCATTTCTGCTTTTTTATCCAAGCGCTGCGCTTGGTTTGTACTTAGTTACAGCAGTGTACCACGTGCTCTTCCATCTTAAAATTGTTGGAGCACAGACACATCATACATTTTCAAACTATTAATTTTTATTCATTGAAAATAAATGTAAATGAGATCAGAAGTACCTGCTCTACTCAAAATTTGTGACAAATTTGATGGTTGTGTCATGCTTCAACAGAAAATCTGCAAGAAAAATGATTTAAGCGTGCCATCAGCTGCCATTTTGTGAAATTAACACAGTGTTCCTATAAGCTCACATTCTTTTATTCCTTAACTATGTTTCACTCATAGGAATGAAGATTCTAACTCAATCTGTGACTGCTGGCACAAAACTACCAAGATCATCCAATCAGTCGTCTCCATTAGTTGAAATGTCACACAAAGTTTCACTGGCAACTGGTACTATTTCAACTGGAAAACCTGTAACTTCTGTGGCAGGTAGGAAAGGAAATTCTTCCACAGAGCCTAGTTATGCCCTGCTGAAAAAGTTGTTTCCTCTTGTACGACCTTGTGTATGTCCCACTGTATTTCCCCTTGTATGGCCTCGTGTATGTCCACACAGTATCCCCTTATACATG